TGTGTGTGTGTGTGTGAGTGTGTGTGTGTGTGTGTGAGTGTGTGTGTGTGTGTGTGTGTAGGTGGTGGTGGAACCCTATTGATGAGGAGCCTGGTGGAGAGGGGCTCACTGGCTCTGTTACAGGAGTAGTCTTATTTCCACCTCCATCCCTGGCTTAGAAGACCCTAATGCCTGCCATGAAACCTGTCCCTGCCAGTGAAACCAAAACCTTTTGAAACTTTCCACTGGGGCCACCTTGGAGGTAGAGTCAGGGAGCTCAGATCACTACTGAGTAGTGCTTATTCCTGGGGGGGCAAGATTTACAGGTGAGAGAGAAAAACAACAGGAAATGTAGCGTTAACTTTGTGCATGGTGACTGTGACTTAACGTTAGAAAGATAGAGATGGGAATCACAGAACTCAACTGACCTTTTTTTTTTTTTTTTTTGAGACAGTCTCATTAGGGTACCCAGGATGGGTGTGAACTCAGGGGCTCACAATTTTCCTATCTCACCCTTCCCAAGCAGCTGGGACCATGGATTCCTGCCATCACTCCAAGACCTCATTCAAAAAATTTACCTTGCTGTTTATGTGAACTTGAGCCAGTTTTAGATCTTGCTTAATCTTTCTGATAAAATGAGAGAGACAGTCAATGGCTGGCTTGGAAGTCCTGCTTCAGCCTCCCAGGGCCGAGGATACTCAGCTTTTACAGTGTTCTGAGCACGACATGAGGAAATTTGACAGCACAGAACAACAGAACAAATGCCTGGACGGCTGTGTAGCAGCTCACCCTTGTTGAAATGGAAACACAGTGTGATCAAGGGGAGGGTCCTGAATGTCTGTCTCCCTCGATGGCCAGCTCCAGCAGGGAGCTTTCCCTGCTCACACCTGGCAGTACCTGACTTGCCTCTTATTTCCAAGGCTGCAGCTTTGCTTCCTAATGGAAAGGAGCTGGGAAATGTGACTGGCCAGTGAGGCCAGTGTCCTAGCAAAGACCCAGTTGTTACGGAAACCAAACTGTGCTGCCTTTCTCAATTAACCCCATTGCTCTTCTGGTCCCCACTTTTCAGATGCCAAGTTTTAACCCAGAACAAAAGCCGCTGTCGGATTGATTTATACTCCAGATCTGCTGATGGGGATCTAATGTGTTTCTCCCCTCTAGAACTGCCTCTGGGGTTTAAAGTTACCACAGAAATCTCCAGGCCTTTACCTCTCTTTATCCCTGTCCTTTGACTCTGGCTAGGGGGTGGTCTCCAGGTCCCGGTGGAGCAGCTTCCCCGAGGTTTCTTTTAGCCCTGCTGCCTTTCTTGAGGGCCAGCTGGCTGGAAGGAGGACTTGCCATCCAGCAGGGCCCAGGAGGCCAACGCTACAAGTTATCTAGGAGCGGCTGTGGGCGGAGGCTGGCAGTTCTGAAGGTGGTAGTGGTTGTCAGCGCAGCTCCTTTCAGCCCCTTTCATCTGAACAGTGGCTCGTGCCACTTGTTAATCAACCTTCCGAGTGGCACCAGGAGTCATTTCTTGGTGGTAGACTCTGCTGACGCCTGGAAACAAGGAGTTGCCTGGAGACTCGGGGGTCTTCTCTGCCTGTTAGGGGCTCCTTCCAGCCCAAGGGTTAGGGCCAGAAAGGAGGACGACTTTGGAGCCAAAAGACTGACCACTGTGGTTAACCCCGAGAGAGCCTTCAGTTTGCTCCATTGCCTCCCTCCCTTCGGATACGCATCCCAAAATGGCTCACCAGCTTTCATTTCTGTAACTGGAGCGTGGGGGAGCCCCTCAGCCCTTCCTAAGCCCAGGCCGCCGCAGGGCTTGAAGGCACACTTCGGGAAGACCAGGTGAGTGCGGTTCCCGGTGGCAACGCCTGGAGTCCCTCCCTCCCCGCACCCCTCCCTCCTGGCGCCATGGCGTAGACCTTGACTCCC